TATCCCGGAATTGGTCTGTCAAAGACCTTCTAAATCCTGGTGTAAAGGTAGTGGAGCAAACAGAAGGAAATTATATGGATGCTTTGTTTCATTGGAGCCGCACAAAAGCTGCTCTTTGGGGGCAGGAGAGACAGCCGGCGTGTCTGGAAAACAGACACCAGATTTGTGCGTTGTATAATTCAAAGCACACTCAAATAATCACCTCCGTATTTCTAATTCTGACATGATGAGAAGGATGACAGGACAGGTAGCAGCAGCAGCTGGCTGGTTTTACCGACTTTCAGATGCTAACCAGTGCCTGGCTTGGTTGATAGGTGGATGTGCCTGTCCCAGGGCTGTCGGTTACTCGGGAAAGTCTAAAAACACGCCCCCCACCCCCCACATACACACACCCAAACACCCTCAAGGGCAAACAATTTCCATACTATTGATATAACTCAACGTTTGATAGTAATCAATAATATACGTGTAGGGTGCATGGTGCTTTCGGAGCTTAGTGATTTCCTTGCAGACGTTTCATTACCAAACTAGGTAACATCATCAATGCTAGAAAGGAGTGGGGTTTGTGGAGTGATGGTGGTAGAGGAGCAGGAGGAGGAAGAGGAAGAGGAGGAGGACTATGGGGCCCTTGGTGCTCTCTGAGCTTGGTGGTTTCCTTGCAGATGTTTCATTACCCAACTAGATACTGTCAACAGTGCTAGAAGGGAGCGGAGTTTACTCTTGGTTTATACACAAGTAACTTGCACTGTTAGTATTGGTAAGAGTGGTCTTGGCAGTTACTCTCTGCAAATTAACACCACGATTAACCCTAGACCAACAATATCCCAATCAAGGAAACACAGACTCAGACAAACAACCCAACACTAATCAGTCTAGTCAAGGAACCACCAAGAATGCTCCCGCCAATACTAACACTTGTATATAAACATAGAGCAAACCCCGCTCCCTTCTAGCCCTGATGATGTTACCTAGTTGGGTCATGAAACGCCTGCAAGAGAAGAACCGAGCTCAGACACCACTAAGGATCCCACAACTTTGATACCGCAATCAAGAAAACGACACAGATGTGTGCATGAAGGCATCAGGAATGAAGCTTGAACTGAGTGACACTTTTAGACCATGGGATTAGTGCACGTCACGAGCCTTTCCGTGGAGTTTTGCCCAGGTAACTAGAGTTGGTGCAGAACCACTTCCAGGTGTACCATCGGAACTTCACTGATGTTCTGGAGTCCGACCGTGGAAAGCTGATAAAGAAAACCACCTGTCCAATTATGAAACCAGCCAAACCAGATCATGCTTCAACCCCTGCAGCCTTTACACTTTTCTCATCATCTAAAATTCATGACCTTGCCTGACGTGACATCTCCACTTTATTTTACCTAGGATCTTGACCGCCACAGGATCTTGGAGGGATGGAGCGGGGAGTTTTCTCCTGGTCTGTGGCCCCTTGGGTCACTTCATTCCCCTTCATCCCTACCCATTAATTAGCAGCTGGAGGGTCTCAATTTGGTCTTCAACTCTCCCTCCCAGGTCCAAAGGAACAACGTAATTGGGCACATTTTCAAGCAAGGTCTCCCGTGAAGCTACTCACTCAACTCCTAAGACTGGCTGCGATGGGCGAACAGGCCTCAGCCGGCACCAAAAGTGAACGTTATAATAAAAAGGAACAAGGAGTAAAATGGAATAAACTTTTGACTTATCCACTTCCTCTACTGTGTTCCCTTTAGGAACTAATCCTTTCCAGTTTTTTAACCTCGATCTTCATTTTAATTCACAGTTTTTCCTCCTACAAAAGAGGATGAGCGAGACTAAAGCAACTTGGGAATTTTCAGTAAAAAAAGACAGCGTATTAATTCTCCTTTGAATGCAAGCAGGCGATTCATTTACAATGAAGTTGCTAATCGCTCAAGAAAAAGAGCAGTAAAATCTAATTGTCTGGGACTTTCTCAAAGTACAGAAAGAAAGGCAGATATGCCAACAAACAAACTGTACATTTGGAACAGGATATTTATTCCAGCGACAATTTTAAAATATTTGCATTGTTTCTCTGATGATCAACTAACTGGAGATGGGTATTGGGGACTCAGTTTTCCCACAGAAAGCAACTCCTTAAGGTGCCTCTTGGCTAGAGTGAATTATTCCTTTCCTCTTCTCTTTGAACTTCTCTAGGCATACAAAAAAAGTCTGCAGAGGAATAGTGGGATTTAAAGGTGAAATGATTAATTAACCCCTGTCCTTCAAGGGGGAATAAACATCTGAAACAATAACAAATATTTATACAGACAATAAGTTATGTTTGCTATGCAGGGCTAACAGAAGGCAAGGGCAAAAGCATTGGGAGACTTCATCCCTCTGGTCTTCTAGAAAAATAAATAAGGTGGTTAAATGTAACTAAGATAGCCAGTTTGTTGCAGTGGTTAGGGGATCAGGCTAGAAACCAGAAGACTGTGAGTTCCAGTTCTGCCTTAGGCACAAAGCTGGGTGACGTTGGTCAATCACCGGGAGACTGTGAATTCTAGCCTTGCCTTAGGTGTGAAAACTGGCTGGGGGATTTTGAGACAATCACCAGGAGACAGGAGGTTCTAGTCTCACCTTAGATAGGAAAGCCAGCTGGGTGACTTTGGGCCAATCGCTAGGAGATGGTGAGTTCCAGTTCTACCTCAGGCATAAAAGCCAGCCGCGTGGCCGTCAGCCGTAGAAAGGAAGGAGGCAAAGGCCTATCACTGCTGGGGTGGGTTGGGGGAAAACCCTTGCCAAGAAAACGGCAAGGACTGAACGAAGAAGTTGCGGAGTCAAAGACTGGCTCAAAGGCCCCCCCCCTCCCCAAAAACAGACCAAGAAAAGAAAGAAAAAGGAAGTAAGACCGGTAAGTATGCAATATCCCCCAAAGCATCAACTTAAGTGCCTTAGCTTGTCACTCCCCCTAGAAAGGCCTCCTTTGTGCCAGCCTGTATGCCCTGGTCCCATCCATTGGCTGGAGGCAGAAGACCTCTGGCCTTACGATGGGTTGGTGTCTACGTGGAGGTTGTGTATGTGGCAAACCCCCTTGAGAATCCTTTGTCAGAGAAGGGCGGTAGACAACTCCTCCTCCTCCAAAGAAGCATCTTTCCTAAAAGCACACAGGATTCCCACTGAATTCAAGAAGAACAAAAAAATGTCCCGCATTTTTCAAACTTCAACTTCAGAACTGGTTTACTTATGGCCTGGTAAAACCTTCTTCACCCAGGAACATGCGTGGCCAGAGTGGCCTGGATCAATGCTCAACTGGCGTGGAGGAAAAAGCTCTCGTCCCCTCAAAGCAAGGTTGTCAGGTAGCACCACAGGAACATTTCTATAGCTATCACCTGAAGTTCAGCTTGTGGAAGAAAAGGTTGCTGGTGATCAGCATCATCATCATGATAATTAACGATGCTTACTAATTGTACCATATCTGCAGTTCCCATTCCAATAGGTAGGCATGTCCTTGTTTTTGATGATGGCCTACAGAATGCTAAGGGACACAAGGTGTTGTACTTGCCTCGAGTCAAGCTAGGTGACATTCACACGACCAGGGGAAGAGGCTGCTGATCATCGTGCCTCCGTAGAAATGCAGGCAGAGCTGTGGGTGGAGTTAAGTGGGTCATCCGCTTAGAATCATTATGTTGCCACAAGCAGTCCCAAGTCCAGCCTCCTCCTTGGATTCTGTTGACCCTTACCTGTCACGCCCCTGGTGGAGGCTGACTCCGAGGGAGAGGAGGAAGGGTGGCTCCAGAGGTTGTGGAGGAGGCTGGGGAAGGGCAGAGGCCGGCTGGGCAGTCAGAGGAGGACCCAGGCCCATCCCCTCTCCATCCTAGGGCACGCAGGGAGGAGAGGATCAGGGAGAAACATGAATGGCCTGGTCTAGGGGGGAGGAAAGGGCCTTGATCCTCTTCAGGGGCTGCAACTGTGAGGACAGACATGTGTATGGGCCAGTGCTGGAAACCAAGCATGGAAATATCTCCAGTTTATGGTTCCTCTCTGAGTTTGGAATCCTTCCCAGTGTGTGTTATCTGTGGACGTCCTCCAGCCCTTATCTTGCCTGGATTGTGTTGCTTTTTCCCTTCTTCTTCTTGTAAATGTTTGTGTGGGAGTTTTGTTTTCTTCCGTCAAGAATATGCGGAGCTTGGAAGCAAAGTGAAGGAAGAAAAGGGGCTTCACCTGTTGTCTGTGACTGTGTTTGTTTTGTATCCCACCCTGGGTCATCACATGCCTGGTTTGAACTTATTTGACTAGATTCTTTTGAATGGGCTTGATCAACAAATCTTCTGACCTGAAACTTAATGTAAGGTCCCGATCCTTTGTGCCTGACATTCATCAAGTCAACTCAAGTTCAAATCTGAATCTGTGCCAGATAAGAGTCAACGGAATTTAAGGTGTGTGTGTGTGTGTGTGTGGATTTGCATTGCTTGTGGCAACTTAATGACTCCAAGCTGATGATGCACTTAACTCTGCCTCCAGCTCTGCCTGCTCCAGCTCTCCTACAAAATCTGATTTATAGAACAAATTGGGAGACAGAACTAACCGAAGACACCCTATCTGAGTAACTAAAGCCAGCAGCCACTACAATATATGGATGGGAAAATAAGCACATGAGTAAAATACACCCACAATTTAAAAATAATGTCCTGCATCTTTCCGTTAAAATGAATTGCCCCCACCTTTAAAAAAAACACACCCTACATCTTTCAATATTGGTCTCCCTTAAGTTTCTTCAACAAACTTTCAGCCTGCTCGGGAACAGCCATAAATGCCATAAATTTAGATTCTTCCTTTGTATGTTGGATGATTAACCAACATTAATTAATACGCATTTCAAGCCCAAAGCAATGCTTTGAAACCCAAAACAGGGCCCACTGCAGCGATTCCCAGCAGTGGTTTGAAATGACACCCCACCATCATGGCTTCAGCGAAATCAGCCCCTACAGCTGCCCCCGCTTTATCCTTGCACGGAAAGGCATAGTTTAGGAACAAGGTTTACTCACCATGGAGGAGTCCCCACTTCCGTTTGCAACCGTAGCTCCTTCAGCACAGGTGGGGAGGTGGGTAGAAAGTTGACTAGCCCTGCCCCCATCTATGACATCACACTCTACCTCATAAAAGGTAGTGAAAGTGCTTTGAACTCCAGGCTGATTTCCGAGAGATACAGAAAAGAAAGAGTGAGAGAGAGCAAGAGAAACATGGCGCCCTATTGTGGGAGGGGAAGGGGGGAGGGGGGAGGGGAAGGGGGAGGGGAAGAGGGGGGGGGGTCGTGTGCTGAAAGAGCTACTAGGCTCCACAACCTTCCAGGGGCTTCCATGCCGAGTTGCCCTGTTTTAGCAGTGCTCTCCTCCCTTCCTCCCTGAGCACAGGCATATCAAAGCCAAGATCCCTTAGGAGAAAGGTGAGGGACGGGAACGATGGGCTGGGGAGTACAGGTAGTCCTCGACTTCCAACAGCTCGTTTAGTGACCGTCTGAAGTTACAAACGGCATGGGAAAAAGTGGATTATAGCTGTTTTTCACACTTGCAACGGTCACAGCGTCCCCCTTGGTCCCGTGATCAAAATTCAGCTGCTTGGCAACTGACTCATATTTATGACGGTTGCAGGGGTCAGGTGGCCACGCCCTTTCCTGAACTTCTGACCAGCAAAGTCAGTGGGGAAGGGAGATTCACTTAAGGACGGTAGTGATTGGCTTGGCAACGAATGGGGCAAGAAAGGTTATAAAACGGGGCAAAACTCCCCGAGCCACCTCGCTTAGCAACAGAAACGTTGGGCTCAACGGTAGTTGCAAGTCGGGGACCACCTGTATGATGGCGCTGGGCTAAAGGCTCTTGTGGGAATGGGGCGCGAGCGCTTGGAGCGGCCTTTGCTTCTGCAATCCTGCGTCTTGTGCAGAATCCGGGCCTTCCTCGGGGTCCCTGCCAGGTGGGAGCGTCAGCCGGGACACAGGAGCGGAGGAGGGAGACAGGCCGGCCTCACCCACCAATGCTTCGCACACACACAAAGGAAGAAAGGAATAAAATTCCCTGCGAAGCAACCTAGGGCACCTTCACCCACCAACGACGGGGCTGGAAGCTGGACTGCGTGGCTGTTATTTTAGCTCAGTCACGGCTGGGTGAGTCTGGAAAATATCACAGATCCGTAGCATGAAGAGGACCCGAAGCAACTTTGGCATGAGAATTCATTTGTGAGGAGAAAAGCTTCTCTTCCTTTCCGGTCCGTATGATCTGAGACTTGGGCTGGTGATCGATCTCAGGGTCTCTTTAATCAGGGCAAAGAAAGATGCATCGCGGAGTAGGCTAAGGCCGAATCCATGGGCTATGACCATGATGGCAAACCTATGGCTCGCAAGCCCCAGCCAAACTTACCTGCGTTGCGCACGTGCGCGCCTCCCAGCTCATTTTCGGCCCGTTTGAGGCCTTTCCGGAAATACCGGAAGCGATGAAACGGGGCCGTTTTTCGGTCTCCAAAGCCTGCAGAGGTTTCCCTCGAGCCCCTGGGAGGGCGAAAAAGGCCTGAAACAGGCCGAAAACCAGCTGGGAGGTGCATGCATGCGCAGTGCAAGTAAGGGTGCACGGGGGTGTTGTGTGTGCAGGCCAAGGGAGGCGCATTGCCTTGTGGGTGCTGGCATGTGAGCACGCGCAAGTGCACACGCAATTTTCAGCATGGGAGCCCAAAAAGGTTAGCCACCACCGGGCTACGATCTCCCCCATTCTCCCTTTTAATTCCAGTTCTGTAGATCTTAGACTAACAGGATGGCTTCGAATCTTTTATACTCGGCATGAGTGATTAACTCCATTTAATGCTGGTGTGTGTGTGTGTGTGTGTGTGGGTGCTCTCTGAGCTTGGTGGTTTTCTTGCAGGCGTTTCATTACCAAACTAGGTAACATCATCAGTGTCAGAAGTGAGTGTACTTTTTAAAGAGGAGGAGGAGGAGGAGGAGGAGGAGGAGAGTGACTGGGGAGTCTTTAGTGTTCTCTGATCATGGTGATTTTCTTGCAGGCATTTCATTACCAAACTAGGCAACATCATCAGCACTATGATGTTTCTTTGCTTTATTTCTTTATGAAATTTATTTGCTGCCCATCTCATATCCAACAACTGTGAGAGGCTTACAACACAAAAACACTGGAAAACATTAAAAGCATCCATTGTGAAGAAAACACAGCAGGTAAAAACATTAACAGATAAAATCACGGAGACAAGATAGCAACGGTACTACCTAGTTTGGTAATGAAATGCGTGCAAAAAACCAGAATAATAGAACAACGGAGTTGAAAAGGAACTTGGAGGTCTTCTAGTCCAGCCCCTCTGGCCTATGCCGTTTCCGACCAATGGCCGCCCAATTTCTTCTTTAAAATCTCCAGGGACGATGGAGCACCCACAAACTTCAGGAGGCAATGAGGTTCCAATGGTTAATTATTCTCCACCATATTAAAGAGCACCAAGGACCCCAAAGTCCAGCCCTGAGCTACAAATCTTTTCTTTTATCGGTGCGTGTATGTGTGTGCGTTCCTGCACGTGGGAACTAAATGGAATTTGTCCACGAGAAAGCTGGAGAAACGCTTGGCAATCAGTCATGACCAGATCTAACTGGTGGCAGCAGGGGGAAGGAGGGAGAGGAGGGGTGGGTTGCCTGATGCTCGCCTTTCCAGAACGGACGCCTGGCTATTGCTAGGCTCTGCCGAGGGAGGAAGGAAGGGGACGGAATCCGCTGATTTACAAAGCACACTTGAAACACGGGGGGTCAACGAAGGGGGGCGGGGGGGGGGGGGGGAATCACTCTTTCCCAGTCTGCCAGATCAGCCCAGTGTCATCTTACCAGGAGGAAAACATCTTTTCACAAGAAATAACAAATATATACACAACAGGCCTGATAAACGAAGTTAGCAAACATTCCGTCTCAACATTTCCTTTAACAGAAATGAGACTGCATAGTTGCAGCTAGCTATATTTGGGTTTTCTGGATAGCACCAGAAGAAAGGGGGGGAAAAATAACATTAATGGAGAGGTGGAAAGGAAGGGGGGAAATTAGAGTTATTAGAGTATTAGTGTCATAATCCCGAAGTTCTGATTTTTCCTTGGTGGGCAATTCATCATGAATTCATTGAATTCATCTACTATATACCACTTAAGGTTGTTTTCCCTTCTTCTAGGGAATTCTTGAGTCAAAGAGGTTTCTGTTACAAAAAGATGCAGGTGGATCTCTAGGGACAGAGCGCTGGATAATGTTCCCTATGATTTCTGATTATTTGTTTCAGTATTTAGATCTGCTCACCCATGGTTTATAAAAATGTTCCTCTGTAATAAAAATGTTCTTTGCTGTTGGTATTAAGTCTACGTTCAGGAACTTTTTACTTTTAAGTATTAAGCTGCGCTGAACAATTGTAGGAGCAACAATGACTAATAATTTATGAAATGCATATGTCCCTCAACTTTCAATAACTCTGAATGGCTAATAAGAATAATGTGATATTTTGCACGCATTCATTGAGAAGTCGCATTAGGTTTCCTTTCTAAGAAACGCCAGTGGACAAATCATTTATTACATTCCATTTTGCCTTCTTGGAAAGGTAATAATTTTGGTCCATGATCTATTTTTCCCCCCCAATAGATCATTTTTATTCTTTTAAGAGCATACTAAACATAAGATGTGGCATAATGAACTGGTTATTCAATCAGACATTACAACTGAATGAACAGAATAATATTTTAAAAGTTGCATTGACTTATCTCATCTAATACTAAAACTGTTTTATCCATTTTATCATGCCATTTGATTTTTATGGCTTATTTCATGAACCAGCTCAGATATAGTCAATTAATCAATGAGTTAATGCAAAAGGTTTTAGTTAGTTCAGTTGGAATCTCAACATCTTCAGGGATTTCTAAAGAACTGAGGCTGTGTTGTTCTTTTAGCAAAGCAGTTATTGTTTAATTGATTGTATAATTTATTTCCTTATTAATATGAATTCCTGCTTGTATTTTCCTAAAAAGAATTGTATAAAACCTATTAAAGCAACCAGATTTAGTAGTTGTACAGTACAGAATTTAAAAGAGTACCGTAGAAGGACAGGCAGAGCCTGTGGGGGGTGGAGTCAAGTGAGTAATCAGTCTGGAGTCATTACGTTCCCACAAAGGATTGAAGTCCAACCCCTCTTGAATTCCATTATTTAGTGCCAATTTAGTGTCAATCTTTAGCTGACTAGATTCTTGTGTCTAGGCATGAGCAATAAATCAGCTTAACTGGAGCTTAACTAGTGGTCTTGATTCAATCTTACCTAAGTAGAATAACATGCATACATTCAAGTGTACTGTTGTAAATCTAACTCAAGTTTTTGGGACAGATTAACTATATAGATATTGCAATCGAAGGAATCCAGTTTACAAAAAGAAAAAAGACTTAATGAGAAATACCATGGATTCTGATTGGCAAAACTGATTATTATTAATAATTTTAAATGTCACAACACCTAAGCCTTATTAGTTAAAGGGGGCGGGGAAGAAGACTGCATATATAGAGTTAGCCCTCGACCTACAGCAGTTCCATTTAGTGACGGTTCAAAGTTATAATGGCTCCAAAAAAGGGAGTTGTGACTATTTTTCATACTTACAGCTTTTTGTGATGGTCACATGACCAAAATTTGGATGCTTGGCAACTGGTTCATATTTATAATGGCTGCAGCATCCTGGGATTATGCGATCCCTCTTTTGTGACCTTCTGACAAACAAAGTCAGTGGGGAGGCCAGATTCACTTAACAACCAGGGTGCTAACTTAACAACTGCAGGCCACCGTGGTGAGAAAGGTCGTAAAATGGGGCAAAACTCACTCAGCAGCTGTCTCACTTAGCAACAGAAGTGTTGGGCTCAGTTGTGGTCATAGGATATAGTCATTTACATGCAAAAAAGGAGGAATTCTCAGAGGCAACAGGGGTGACTGGCCTTTTTAGAAGAAGGTGAGCTTTCTGTTGTTTTTTGTTTTTCCAATTGGATTTTGGTTTGTCAGTAGTTGATATTTGTAATAAGAACCAAGAGCTGCTTTTGTCATTAAAACAGTTAAACAATAAAGTTGCAACGTACAGGGACTCCTCCTCAATTTACATCCACAATCGTGACTGGAATTTCCATGGCCGAGCAAGCCGGTTG